TGGAACAAGATATTTTTTATGTTTAGACTTGAAATAAAAGACAGGTCAATTAAAACGGTTCGTTTCGGCTGAGTGCTCCTCTTTCTCTCTCTCTCTCTCTCTCTCTCTCTCTCTCTCTCTCTCTCTCTCTCTCGCTCCCCCCCCCCTCCTCTCTTTCGCTAGCAGACAATGCGTAACATGAAACAATGCGTAACATGAAACAACAAAAAAATGACAATTTAAAATTCAAACATTGAAATAATGTTTATTAGTAGCGATATCAATTATATAGGTAAATGATTTAATAGTATCGCACTTGAATTTGACTAGCCTTTAAAGTATTTACAAAATTTACATGGTACCAGAGACCGGAAACATACTTAGTAAAATAGAAAAAAAAAAAAAATTGAAAATGGGCGTGATCTCATATCAATCAAATCGGTACATTAATAATGTGAACCATTTATAAAATAGACACTTTTTATTACTAAACATTACCGGTAATATTTGTTTTGTTCGAAGATCTCTTAGCTCAGTCTCTGTTTAGAATCTATTGAGTCGAAGATCTCTTAGCTCAGTCTCTGTTTAGAATCTATTGAGGGAAATTGAAAATGATAAAAAGTCATTTAAGAAACATTTAGAGCTAGAGAATTTTTTTTCTCTAAATAGAATTTTGGACATCATAGCGCTGGAAACATGCTAAAATAGCAGTGCTTTATTTGAAGGAACAAGAAACAACCTTAAACAATGTCTGAATCAATAGCTTAACGCGGGGCAGCGCAGATCTGATAGAATGCGTGGACATCTCAGGGCGAAAATCTGATAGTACGAATGTATATCTCAGGGTTTCAAACATTGAAAATAAATAGATAAATATCCTGTCATTTCAAAAGATAATCTTTTTTAGCCATTGCACTTTTATTTTACTCGCACCTGAGTTACCCAAAGGCATGACCCCAACCTCTCAGTGAAGTACCGGTTTGTTACCCAAAGGCATGAGCAGACTTCTCAGTGAAGTACCGGTTTGTTACCCAAAGGCATGAGCAGACTTCTCAGTGAAGTAACGGTTTGTTACCCAAAGGCATGAGCAGACTTCTCAGTGAAGTAACGGTTTGTTACCCAAAGGAATGAGCAGACTTCTCAGTGGAGTACCGGTATGTTACCTAAGGGCTTGACCAGACTTCTCTGTGAAGTACCAGTTTGTTACCTAAAGGCATGACCAGACTTCGCAGTGAAGTACCGGTTTGTTACCCAAAGGCATGACCAGACTTCTCAGGGAAGTACCGATTTGTTACCCAAAGGCATGACCAGACTTCTCAGGGAAGTACCAGTTTGTTATCCAAAGGCATGACCAGACTTCTCAGGGAAGTACCGATTTGTTACCCAAAGGCGTGACCAGACTTCTCTGTGAAGTACCAGTTTGTTACCCAAAGGCATGACCAGACTTCTCAGGGAAGTACCAGTTTGTTACCCAAAGGCATGACCAGACTTCTCTGTGAAGTAACGGTTTGTTACCCAAAGGCATGACCAGACTTCTCTGTGAAGTAACGGTTTGTTACCCAAAGGCATGACCAGACTTCTCTGTGAAGTAACGGTTTGTTACCCAAAGGCATGAGCAGACTTCTCTGTGAAGTACCAGTTTGTTATCCAAAGGCATGAGCAGACTTCTCAGGGAAGTACCGATTTGTTACCCAAAGGCATGACCAGACTTCTCAGGGAAGTACCAGTTTGTTACCCAAAGGCATGACCAGTCTTCTCAGGGAAGTACCGATTTGTTACCCAAAGGCATGACCAGACTTCTCAGGGAAGTACCAGTTTGTTACCCAAAGGCATGACCAGACTTCTCTGTGAAGTAACGGTTTGTTACCCAAAGGCATGACCAGACTTCTCTGTGAAGTAACGGTTTTGATTGCTTTCTCCGATTGTTTTAAAAATCTTAGCCCAAGCATGAAAATGTTCCGGCTTTGTAAATAATAGCTACTAGAACACCCCCCCCCCCACAGACCAAAAAACGAAGATTTGGCATAAACAGTGCTGGATGTCAAGCTAAGTAGATGTTTGCCCCACTGAAGACTTAGCAGCATTTTTATTGAAATCAATAACTTATTCTAATCTAGTACCTTAAGAAAAACATCAGACCTTCGAGCCAAAGCTCATCAGGTCTTCCCCAGCGTACCTCTTTCCGCCCCCCCCCCCAACCCAACCCGACTAGCGCTCGCCTTCCAATGGGGCCGCTAAGAGGCACGCTGTAGGTACTCCGCCGCTGAGACTGCCCCACCCGCCGCCCTTCAGGCAAGGAGGGTACAATTCAGTCTTTCATGTTCGATTGATCTCATTTTTACTACGCATGCCTATATTTAGGTTTGGTTTGTAAGATAAATTAATAATAATTTAATTAAAAGTTCCATAAAAAGAATGTAATTCTTAGATGGCCTATATACCTGCCATTTTGGTAGCGGTGCCCGCTCTGGTTACATACAAATAGTACTATAGTGGAATAGCGCCCCCCCCCCCCCCCCCCCGCACACACACACTTTCCCAACCGTGTCTTAACTCCAGGCCTGGATCATGGGCTGGTTATATATACACATAGTAGTATAGTCTCCCCTGTCTTATCTCCAGGCCTGGATCATGGGCTGGTTATATAATATACAAATAGTAGTATAGTCTCCCTTGTCTTAACTCCAGGCCTGGATCATGGGCTGGTTATATATACAAATAGTAGTATAGTCTCCCCTGTCTTATCTCCAGGCCTGGATCATGGGCTGGTAAGTTATATATTCAAATAGTAGTATAGTCTCCCTTGTCTCCCTCCAAGGCCTGGATCATGGATGTCCTGGTCTTTTCACTTAGAACAATCTCATCACTCTGCCCGTATATTTTCTAACAACAGCAACAAATTTGTTTTTGTTTTGGGATAAGTTTAGTATTTTCCTTGTTAATATAAGTACACTTTTCATGAATGCTATCGATTTCCTGTTAATATAAGTAAATTAGTACACTTTTCGTGAACGCTATCGATTTCCTGTCATATAACTAAACTTTCCGTGAATGCTATTTTTTTTCCCTTCACTTGGTTGGGCAAAGAAGAAAAATGGTCACTCCACAAATAATTGTAATTGTGATACATCATTTCATCGTGTTTTCTTTTTTTTTTTTAAAAAAATAAAAAAAAACAAAAAAATAAAAAAAGAAAGTAAAACAAATGCTTGATAACAAAAACCAAAAAAAAAACACAAAAAAAAATAAAAAAATAAAAAAAAAAAAAAAAAAAAAAAAAA